CTGTATCGAACGGTTCAATATCGATACGAGTATCGTTGCACCCCTAATATATATACATATATATATATATATATAGCTGGTGTTTTACTCCTCTGGTATTCCTACCAATCCCTTTCTGTGCCCCACTCATGTATTGACTCATGTGCCTGTTCATCTTAGCTGCTATGATGCCTGACAGGAGCTTCCAAGTGGTGCTGAGGCAGGTTATTGGTCGGTAATAGGTAATTGGAGGGGACGGGTCCCTTCTACGGGTCCTTGAGGATCAGGACTGTCCGGCCTTCAGTTAGCCATTCTGGGTGTCTCTCGTCAACTAGCAGCTGGTTCATTTGTGCTGCCAGTTGCCCTTGGAGGTGGCCAAAGCTGTGAGTTTTTGTTTGACAGTTTCCAAGGCTTCAGGTATGGACAGGTTCCTGTACTTCTTAGGCACCGTCTTTGTTGCACCTTTCTGCAGCTCCGATGGTTGTCTAGACTCCTTCCTGCTGCCTTGATCTTAGCCTCTAGTCTCCTTCTCCATGGAGGATACTCCTCCTCGTGGCTGTTTGTTCATCTTGTAGCCAAGCATCTCACTGACCACGGCTGCCGTAGGGTAGATCAGCTGATTAGTCTCAGTAATGGTCACAGTAGGTATTGTCTGTAGTGTTTCATTCACATCCTCTACTAGATCTTCAGAGGGTACTTCATGTAATCTTGGTAACGGAGGGTGCAGGTTTCAAGCTTCATCATGATTCTGTTTTTCAGGTCAGTTTTTCTCATACTCAACGACCCTTCTTCCATCGCACTTGGGGCTTGGTACCCAATCTCAGGTGGGGGTGATGATATCTCCCCCTAACCTGTCGTCCTGGCTCCCCCTTGCTGTAGCATTTGTGTTGCAACTCGTCAGTCTCTAGCTGTGAGAGCAGTTCCTTCTTCTGAATGTTGAAAGACTGAGCTGAGTTTTTTCGCCGTCAGTCTGGATGGAGGTATCAAAGACTCCATAGGTCCCACATCCTATTCATGTAACCCCTTCCCCTGGGGTTACTTGTGAGTAGCATTTCAACAACGCCCTGTTTTCATCTCTTGCCCACTTATGCATCTCCATCTTGTTCCAGTAGCCCACTTCTCATTCTTCTTAGCACTGGGACCAGGCATGTGTTCTCTCTCTGGAGGTGCAGGCTCAGGTTGTATAGGCGT